GGAGCTCCAACTGCTCTCTCCACTTTGTCCAGCTTCTCAGCAAGTCGTCTGGCAATTTCTCGTCCCATTGAAGTTTAAGCTGCCAGGTCCCTTGGAGGACTCTCTTATCTGGGAGCAAAACCGGTCCAATCATGCCCAGCGGATCGAACATGGAGCTCATGGTTGACAAACACCCTCGCCTCGTCTCGTCATTTAACTTCTTCGGTAAAGGTGACACCTTCACTTCCAACGAGTCGGTCTCGGTATCCCACTGCTGGCCCAGCGCTCTTTCGATAGGAAGCTTGTCCAAATCCAGGTTTTTAACCGTTCTTTCCCCTGCTGAGATAGCAGCTAATACTTGCTTGACGTTGGACACGAACTTTGTCAACCGAAAGTTCCCTCTTTGCAACAACTCCATCAACTGCAGTGAAGCATCAATTGCCCGTTCAGTGGTAGGCACAGAAAACAATCCATCATCTAAATAGAAATTCTTGGAGACAATAGCGCACACTTCCTTGCTAAACTCGGATTCATTGTCTGCAGCTGTTCGTTTTAAAGCCCAGGCTGCAATCGATGGAGAGTCTGTCTTTCCAAACAAATGCACGTTCATTTTGTGATCACTCGGTGGCTTATCGACGCCTTCACTCCACCATAAGAACCGTAGGGCATCTGTATCCTCCTCCCTGCAGACTACTCTGTGAAACATGCTCTCGATATCAGAGGCTATGGCTACGTCCTCTTTTCTGAATCGGATCAGAACTCCAACGAGAGAATTGTTCAGCTGTGGTCCTCACAGCAGTTCTTTATTCAGGGATGTCCCGCCAAATTCCGCAGCCGGATCGTACACCACTCGGACCTTTGCTTTATTCGGGTTAATTACACCGTGGTGTGGTAAATACCATGTGCATTTACTCGTGTGGGCGGCTTCCTCAGCGGACAACTTCACAGCACACCCCTTTGCAATATAGTCGTTCATCACTGCCTCGTATTGCTTGGCGAATTCTGGACTTCGGTCAAACCGTCTCTTCAGTTGTTGTAACCTCCTTTCTGCTAAGGACCGGTTGTTTGGAAGCTGAGGGTCGCTATTTCGCCAAAGGAGACCGACCTCGTACCTCCCGTTCTTTAATTTAGTGGTGTTGTTCAATATTTCAAGGGCCCTTCTGTCATCACGGCTGTCGCAACTGTCACCAACATTTCCAAATCCGTGTGATTCAGAGTCCCAAAACTTCTCAACTTGCTGGTGAAGTCCCATGACCGACCCTTCCTTGGTAACGTCAAACTCGAATACAGAAAGGGCAACTGGCTTGCTATTATCTTCCCCCTTGTTTGTGGGCCCAGCTACACACCATTCAAATGGAGTTCTCATAGCGTATGGCTGGTTCTGTGGGCTATCTCCCCAGCGGTAATCGAGAACTATGTGCGCCTGAGGAACATCCTGGCCAATGAGAACTGAAACCTTCGGAACATCCACAGGAATATTCGGCAGTTCTAAATGTGCAAGATGTGGCCATTGTGTTAAATCTACTTGGTTCGGACAATACCGGTCACTAACGTTCAAGTCCTGTATAGCCAAGGCATGAGGTATTGAGTACAAGGGCCCATCTCGTCTCAATGGGCGTATCAGAAATTTAACTCTGATGAGTTCACAGTCATGATTCTTGTGTGTTACAGTGTTAATGCTCACTTTCTCGGGAGTTCCATGAAGTTGCAATCGTTCAGCTAGGTCCGACGTAATCAAGGAACTGACAGCCGCTGACTCTAAAAGGCCGTACGAAGTGACCATAGTTCCGTTTTCACCCACGATGGACAGCGGTACCACCTTGAGTAGCACAAAGCTTCGTTTTGAGTCTTCCATAGTTACGCTTACGGTTAAGTCCTCACTGGGAGAAGCGCTACGATTAACGCTCTCCTCACCCTTATTGGCGTCAGAAGTTGCTGTGGGTAGATGTAGCAGGAAATGGTGGGTCGATGGCTGAGGGCAGCTCCTCACATCACAACCCTTAGTTTTTGGACATGTCTTTATCATATGACAACTGGACAAACACCGGTAACATAGTGCACTGGATCTTGCAAAACGCCGGCGCCAATTCAAACCCTTCTTTGCGAACGCTGAACATTCTGAAACACCATGCCTTCCCTTGCAAACCCGACACCTCTCTTCTTCGCCTCTTTCAACCCGACGAACATGTTCTCCCTTTGCAGGTAGGGCCTTGTCGTCTTGGGGAGTATTGGTCTCCTTTATTTTAATCTCTGTCGACAAGGTGGGAATATGTGTTTCTCCAGACTGTCCTGATGTGGGAAGAGGTTTTTTGAAGTTTCTGCCGGTGTTAGCCCTTATTGCAAGGGTAGCAGATCTTCCGTAGACTGGGTCATTCTCAGTTTGCGACTCGGCAGTTATGAACTCCGAAAGTTCCTTGAGCGTCGGCTCTCCACCACCAGTTCTTTCACGGTACTGCTTGGCTGACCTTCTCCATTTCGCCTGCAAGGGGTACGGTAGACGATCATAGATTTGCCGTAAGTTCGTAGTACAGTCAAGTAATAATAATTCATTTTCTCGCTATCAGTCAACGATGCTCTGCTCTGGACTTGATCTCTAAAGTCAGCTCTGAAACGAAGGTAGCGGGATGGATCTCCATCAAACGGAGCGGGTACAGGCGGGGGTTGCTTCATTCTTAATTCCATCTTTTCCCAGAAGGCCGCTGGTGGTACAAGACTGGTCACTTCGGCACTGCAATTCGTTACCATGGGGTTGCAGTATGCTGCACTACCATTGCTAACAACACATTCCGATTGTAAGGGTACAGAGGGCAACGCAAATTCCGGTGCCTTAGGGTCTAAAGCGCTTATAGATTCCAGCTAATTCTCGGCAGGATCATTCAAATGCTTAATTTCTGATTCAGTTTTCCTCAAAATTCTGGATTCATCTATGGTTTGTATAGGCTCAGTGGTCTGCGAAGACTTCTTTGGTTTAGGCTGATCGTCGGCAACTGTATCATTGATGTCAGGATCATCCGAGCCCAAATATTGTTCGTCATCCTCCTTCATAGCGTCTTCATACACTTTGTTGACAGCGGCCACAGCTGCACGTTCGGCCATTAGTTTGGCTCTTTCTGCTTCCTTCTTCGCAGCCTCGACTTGATCAAGTTGTGCGATCCTTGCCTCTAACTCAGCCTGCCTTGCCTTGGCTTCGAGAGCCTTCGCCCTTGAGGATGTGGTTGACAACTTCGAGGACCTAGAGCCCTTTGATTTGATGCTCTTGGCAGAACCCCTTTCAATTTTCTCATCTCTAATCCGCTGATTGGCATCGATCATCCACTTCTGTACTGTTTCACGAATGAGTCTAATTTCTTGGTACAAGTCATAATAATTTTCAGAGGCCGTAATTTGTTCCTCCTTTGTAAGAAGTTCTTGTATTTCTTCGTGTTGATCACCAAACTGCTCAAACAGATCATTTAGTTTAATAGACAAATCACTGATTAACTCAAGGTTCTTATCATGGCCCAACAGCGTGCTGATGTTAGCAATCTGAGATTGTATTTTTCGTTTAAGTTTATTTCTTTCTCCTTTCCTTTGCACGAGGCGATAGCCTGTGCCCTTTTCAGTTAGTTTCCGAGGTCTCTTATCGATAACGGTCTGATCCAATTCCGCGTTCCCTTGTCCATTCCACATTTCCTCTGAAACACATGCGTTTTCGTCCAGAGGCGGCGAGTTTGTCGTTTCGTTCGGCTTTGTAGCGTAACCAGACTCCTTGTTTTCGTTTTCCATTGCGGTAGAGAAGGCTTGAGGTTCACAAAGTGTCAAATCCGGAGTTTTTGTGAGATCGAGTGCCGTATCTCGGCCATCATCGCTCGAAAGATCCCAAACCGACATCACAAAACAACAAGGGATCAAAAACCCTTGTATACAAACATAGAAAGTACTCACGGCCAGTGTTACACGCCAAATATTATCACCAGGACTCAAAATACCAATATTCACAATAAGATAGGACAAATAGTCTGAGAACGGTGCTCGTAGGCCAACAAATCATCTGAATGCAGCTCGGCGTTCGAAGTAACTGTAGCGACGAAATTCACCCTTGTTTACGGACCTTTATTTCCAATACTGCAAGGACGGCTACAATCTTGAATCGTGACAATACACGAAGACAATGTTCCAAACAATACAGTCGTCAATGCGTCGAAACCGATCAATTTTGGTCGTTACTTCGAGTGAATGCCCAAGCTGCAAACACTTGCTGAAACGTATCAAAAGGCAACTAAAAACAAAGTCACATGACCTCAAAAGGCGGGAAAACAAACGAAACAGGGAACCCAGCCGCTACAGTTGTATTTCAGATGTATCTCGGTACGTGTGCGCGTACATTTTTTATTTGAGCGCGCGCATTATTTGTTTATTTATTTAATTGACGTGTACATTTAGTTCGTTTATTAACGTCTTAATTTTACTTTGCGTTATTTTCCTCACTTATACATTGTCCGTGACTGTGCTCACATGGTGGGTGGCTCCTCCTAAAATCTTCTGCAATTGGTATAGGATTTAATGGAGCCGAAACCAATTGTGGAATTGCACGCATTTTAGGCATCCTACTGATGAACAGTTGCGGCACGTAGATATATATTTTTTAGCAACTAAGATAATTTGCAGTCTGTCTACTTTGAAATATATGTGTGACATCAGGGATTTCTCCATTTTACCTTCTTTTGCTCGCTGTTCTCTCATTAGGTTGATTTACACCTGCAACCAACGTCGAATTTCGACTTAATTTTGTCCACTTTCGGGAGTGAAAGACGAGGATGGACCCTAAGAAAAATTCTCTACATAACAGAAAACACACAAACAAGAACTGAACAAGGAATACAGAGTGTTTATTTCAGTCACAACCCGCTTTTTTAACCCTTCAGAAATTAACACTAAAATGTTTTCTTGTCTGCATTTTAAAATGTCGACACAGAATATGCTTTAATTTTTGCACTACACTCTACTTTTGGCTTTGATCGGGAGTGAAGCTGGCTTAACATCTAGGGCAGCCTCTTGCAGACAAGACCACAGGGTAAACCAGCATGCCAACAAATAAGATCATTCCAGTCGCCAGATGCCCTAAAATAATCCCCTGCGTGACCAGTCCACATGTTGCCACAAGGCTCCATACCATTTGAGTTTGGTTCATTTGAGGACCATTTGGTGAAGGTAGGGACTGAATGATCGAACCACACAAAGGCCTTTACGTGAGAGTCCCACTTGAGTCCGATCCAAATCTGCTTCAGCGATGGGGCGAGCTTGTTTACGAGGTTTAGTACAAACTCGTTTTCCTCCTTGCTGTTGATTTTCACCAGATTTCCTCCCAGTTCTTTGCAGTACATTTGAGCATTTTGCCAAGTCTTGATGGAGCTACTGACACGATAGCAGTATCCCTTAAATCGCACCCAGCCCTGTGGACAAGGAACGCCTGAAAGAAAAGTAGGGCCAAGTTTTTATAACCTAATCGGTAGTTAATTTCGTGGTTACATTCGTGGCAGCTGGTTTTCGCGGGGTCTTATCTCTTCAGTTTTCGCGATTTTAATAATTAATGGCATATGAAAAAAGGCATTAAATTTCGCGATTCAAGTGTGCTCAACTTAAATGTTTTTTTTATTATTTCTGACATTCTAAATTTGTAGATAAACTGTATGGGCGTCCGGCCGGATACTAGCTAGATTTTCTTCTTCATGTGCGAATATCACTGAAATTAACACCCTCTTTCATAGAAAATACCTAAACAAAACGGAACTTACTAAAAACCAGTTGATTATTAGTGTATTTTTCAAATCTTAATTGTGTATATGCTGTTATAATTACATGCGAAGTGAAGTTATCATCTTTTCTGTGATTTGAGTATTCTATGGACTATTTGGTCATTGAATTTCGGGTATATACTTCATGGTAGAAAGCCACAAGTGCACCGGTAATATACACTCTGTGTAATATGTAGTATTGTGTCTTCTACCTAATAGCTAGTGGTAGTTACTAGTAGTTACTGGTAGTTACTAGTAGTTGTCGGTAGATACTAGTAGTTACTGGTAGTTACTAGTAGTTATCGGTAGTTACTAGTAGTTACTAGTAGTTAATAGTAGTTATTGGTATTTACTCGTAGTTACTGGTAGTTACTAGTAGTTACAGGTAGTTACTAGTAGTTGCTGGTAGTTACTGGTAGTTGCTGGTAGTTACTAGTAGTTCCTAGTAGTTATCGGTAGTTACTAGTAGTTACTGGTAGTTACTAGTAGTTGTCGGTAGTTACTAGTAGTTGTCGGTAGTTACTAGTAGTTAGTGGTAGTTATTAGTAGTTACTGGTATTTACTAGTAGTTAGTGGTAGTTATTAGAAGTTACTGGTAGGTACTAGTAGTTAGTGGTAGTTATTAGTAGTTACTGGTATTTACTAGTAGTTACTGGTAGTTACTAGTAGTTGCTAGTAGTTGCTGGTAGTTACTGGTAGTTACTAGTACTTACTAGTAGTTAATAGTAGTACTTGGTATTTACTAGTAGTTAGTGGTAGTTATTAGTAGTTACTGGTAGTTACTGGTAGTTATCGGTAGTTACTAGTAGTTGCTGGTAGTTACCAGTAGTTGCTGGTAGTTTCTAATAGTTGCCGGTAATTACTAATTCGAGTCGACTGCTTTTATTTGCTTGGACTATTTCTATTGACGCTGTTAAAGTGGAAGTCTAGAAATATAACAGAGCACTTAATGTCAGGTCCGACGCGGAAAAACAGTTATGTTTTTTCTCAAGTAATGATGTTTCCCTTGTTGATTTCGTCTCGGGAAACATCAGGACTCTCGGCGTTCTCAATTCCTTTCCTGTAGGTTCCACCAATGTGGTATTGAACCAATGTTCACACAAAGCAATCACTTTAAGTAGACTTTATTTGTCAAAGTTTTTCTTAAACTTAATATACACAGAATGACAGGTTGGCTCATATATTCCATTTAAAGAGACATGTATTTCAGTCTCAATATCATAACTCTTTTCCTTTAATTTTATTTCTACTAATTTATAAAATCATCACTTAATGATGTCGCTGACATAGTCATTATGACATTGAAAACCTTATAAACAGTAATAGTCTCTAATGTGTTTGAAGTAAATATCCATTTCCTAATTGTGGAAGTCCTCTGTAAAACCAATGTTACACTAAAGGTTCTCTTTCCATAATTTGATACAAACGGTTTTAATTATCTAATTGTATGGCGGCTGGGTAGGTGGATTTTTCAAAAATCAAATTTTTTGATGTTGTATCAGCAATATTTAAAATTCCCTTCTGAATATAAAGTGATTTTCATTTCTTCATGTTGCTTCTAAGGTGTGATCATAATGACCTGTTAAGATTTGATCTCAAAAGTGGTAACCGTCGATTAAGATTACTAAGCGGTACCTTGCACTTTGTATCGGTGTAAAATTTGCACTTGTCAGTACTGTGCCAAGTGGCTTTAGCTTACTGGCACCTCTTTTCAAGCTTGTGTTTTTTTGCACCTCGGAAGAGGTAA